ATAAATAAAATCATTTTCTTAGGGGCACTTACAGTTCTTATAACAATCCATACATCATTTGTCTCAAGCACATTTGTACATATGTTGCCATCACCATTTTCTAAACATTTACCGTATACATGTATAAGCCAAGTTTTTCAGCACATTTTTAATGCAGTTTTTGTGGTAAAATTAGGTGCCTTGGCTGATATTCGGGTTGACTTATACTCGAGTATATACAGTACTTTCTATTTGAGCCCTTGGTATCAGCTCCTGTCCCCACCACCACCCTCTTGACCCTTTGATAAATTATCAGTTATTTATTGTTTTCATATGTTACGCCAACCGCTGTGTCCCTTCACCCACAGTTTCTGTTGTTCATCCCCCTGGGGAAGGGGAGAATTATGTGTCAATCATTGTGATCGGTTCTCCCTTCTTCTCCTCCTCCCCACACCTTCCCCCTTTCACTCTTGGTATCACTTACTCCCATCTCTGTTCCTGAAGGGTTTATCTGACCTGGATTGCGTGTGTCATGAGCTCTTCTGTGTACCAGTGTACATGATCCTGTCTAGCCAGAACTGAAAGGCAGGACTTGGGTCATGATAGTCGGGGGTGAGGAAGCTTTAAAGAACCAGAGGAATATTGTGTGTTTCATCGATGCTATACTGCACCCTGGTTGACTCATCCATTTCTTGTGACCCTTCTGTGAGGGGCTGTCTCATTGTCTACAGATGGGTTTGGATCTCTGCTCCAACCCTCCTTGTTCTCAACAATATATTTTTTGTTTTGTTTTGTGTCTTCTGATGCCTGTTACCTGATCCCATTGACACTTCATAATCGCACAAGCTGGTGTGCTTCATCCATGTGGGTTTGTTGCTTCTCTGCTAGATGGCTGCTTGCTTAACTTCAAGCCTTTAAGACTCCAGATGCTATATCTTTTAATTAACTAACTTTGATGCTATATCTTTTGACAGCTGGGCACCATCCACTTTCTTCATCACATTTGCTTATGCATCCATTTTGTCTTCAGCCAATGTGCCTGGGGGGTGAGCATCACAGAGTACTACCTTGCTAAAACAAAGTGTTCTTGGGTTGAGGGAGGGCTTGAGCAGAGACCAAAAGTCCATCCACTTCCTCAGTGTATTGCCAAGGCCTTAAATATTGAGGCATTGTGGCACCCTGGCACCCAGGACTGAACTCCAACTCATAGTGGCCCCTTGTGTGTCAGGGTGGAGCTATCTTTCACAGGATTTTCAGTGACTCACGTTTTAGCAGTAGTTCTCCAGGTCTTTCTTCCGAGACACCTGCAGATGGTCTTGAACCGCCAACCTTTCTCTTAACTGTTGAGCATGTTAACAATCTGAACCACCCAGGGACTCCAACCCACTGCCATTTTGTTTGTCAGAGTAGCTTTCCTTGCCCTGTGCCCTTTCAGTTGGCAAGAATATTGTACGAGTTAATGACGTGAGAAAGGACTTCAGGTTCCTTGGCTTTTCCAGTTTATCGTTCATTACAATTTAGTGTGCAGCGCTGACATCTCATCTGGATTATGATTACACCACCAACAACATATTTATTCATTGAGTCATGTATTGGAAGAAAATCCATGATGCGAGACTGTGGTTAGCCTTGGGGCAGGGGGACAGATTGTTATTTCATTGATGATTTGTAAATATAATTTTGGTAAAATATTTCTGCCAAGTTTGGTAAGTAGGTATTCTAGACTTCATAACCGGAGGAGTCTTTTTTCTGGTCTAACTTCTGAGTCTTGGCTGTGGCAAATAGAAGATACTTTTCATCCCGTTCGTTACCAGGCTAGAGCATTTGCTAGAGTGTTAGTATCACACACAGTGAGCTCTGTTATGAACCTAATTCTTATTTTCTCTCAGGGGATTAGCAGTATTATTTTAATTCAGAAATCAGGAAGCAGCATTGGGCAGCACTGAGCTGTGGGACTGGCTGGCCTAATAACTTGACAGTTTCTCATTTCCTCACTTCCGACTCTCTAGATTAATTAGGGAGAGTGGGGGCTGGGGTGGCATGCTGCTTGCGAATCTGATGCTGTTGACTCAGAAAAACAAGGCCATTCTATCAGATTCCGGCGTCCACTGCATATTGATGGGTTCAAATAGACCACAGAAACTCGAAAGACCAGACAGTAACTTGATGGGAGTGGGGGGGGGGACCTCCAAAAAGGAGGCAGAGAATGATTGCACCCCTCGAAAAATACCGTCGCCGTCACTGAATTGTCCACGGAGAAATAGTTGAGTTGGCGTAGGTCTTGCTGCTTCTGTCCTCAAAAACAGCCAATAAATAAATAAGATTGGGCGGACATCAAAAACAGGACATCAAAAACAGAATCTTCGTTTCCGCCTTCATTTTTAAAAAGGTTGAATTGTAGCAACTAATTAGTCTGTGGTCCCGAGAAAGATCTGGAAGGCGCACAATTCACAGTTAAGACCCTGCGTCCCTTAGCCAAACCCTGTGATGTATTGAGAATCATGACCTATTCCCTTTGTTTTCTCTCTTTTCCAAAAGAACCTTTTATCTTTAAAGAATACGCCTTCTTCACCCGCTCAGTGCTCTCGCGAGGGTGAAAGCGGGGAGTGGAGTGCAGGGCAGGCCAGGCAGAGAGCTCTGGTGGGCCAGCCTGAGCCTTCAGAGGCCTGAGGGTGACAACGGGAGCCCTTAAAACTGAGGCCTAAATGAGACATCCCCTTACGGAATGGTCCCGGGGAAGAGACGAGCCAGTCAGGTTGCAGTGTAGCAACAATGAAACATACAACTTTCCT